ATAAAATAATAAACTTAAGTAAGTGGTTTTCACAAGCGCAATACTAGTCATCACCTCGTCGCCACAACGAACTAAGACAAACAAACTTTTGCTAAGAACAAGGAGCTCATTGATATTACTAAAAAATTAGAAGTACTCTTCTTTCTCCGTTCAGTCTTTCATTTAAGTTAGATTCGCCATGATCGATCATCACCTGATGGTACAATGTCGATCATTACATTGACATTGTGGAGTAATCATGGCAACGATTTCAAACAACTCTATGATCACATAAGGAACGAAATGTTTACTCTATTGGTGATAGGATTATGGAATCGTCTATGATCTTATTTTGCTAATAGCTCACATATTCTTATTAATGATAAACTATAAATCTGTTCTGCTTTCATTTGAGCAATTTGAAAGAAAATACATGAATAACAAAATTTCAGCAGCATTCCATCGTATAATACAACTTGAGAATTTCAATAATATTCTTTGCTGCTATTATGTTATCTGAATTTGAGGATTATTTCAATCAAATAATAAATGATCAAGAACCTAATGTTTCTATTTATCAAATAACATTAAATCCAACAGCTGAAGAATAATTTCTACATTTACCATGTTTTAATCATTGTTTTCAGTTGAAGATCCATTGTGGGATTAAAGCAAATGGTGTGGCATCATCATCTCTCAAAAAGATTGTTAGTTTGGCTAAACTTCTTCATTGTAGTACAGTATTTGCTGAACGATTAGAAAAAGCTAATTATTGTATTCTAAGATTTGATCAGACCATATGGAAGAGAAAATGTCAAGCCGTAAAGAATAATTACTAATATTCCATCTTTCATATTTGATACAGTTTAGACTGATCTGAAGAAAAGTGGTTTTATACTAAACAACAAAGACAAACAAGTTTTGGAAGAATTCGTATCCTTGTTTGAGTTATTTAATGAAGCCACAGTGTTCACTTAGGGTAAATTCTTTACAACTCTCAGACTTGTTGCACCTACTGTTTTTGGCAGACTTTCTGATTTTGAACGTGAATTTAATTTTTCTACTTTAATTTTTGTTTCTTTATGTGAAGTTCTTATTTCCTCAATGCAAGCTAGGTAGAGTGTACTTCTTCATTATTTTGAAATTGATGTATATTTCAATTCATACTTCATGTAACAGTGTTTTTCAGCTATGATTTTTCTTATTTTTTCACCTTTAAGTGCACATTTCAAGCTATTATCGCTTGATAATTTTCAAAATACTGTAAAAATGCTTGTTCTTGAAAAGGCTTTTAGGGCATTTGTTCGTTTTCTCGGAAACCAACTTTTTGTTATGTTACACTGTTTAAGAGCTGATGCGTTAAACGCAATCGAACCAAGTGCTAATCATGTTATAGAAAAGAGCATTCTCTCACTTAGTAAAGGAAAATTTTTTTCTCTTCAGTGAGAACTTCTTTCGATGATGAAGTGTCAATTTTGTTTGAGCTCGATCCCTTTTTATTTGAAAGAAGTTTTGAAGAAAATTTACTTGTTGCACAAGAAACATACGTATTCGTGTTTATGTCAATTCGGTTTAAGATGCTTGCGAGTATCAACGACATCAACTCTCATAATATGAGTTTTTTTTTGAAGTAGTTTTCTTGTGTATTTTCATCGAGCATTATTAATTGCAAACACTTTGTGCTTGGTTACTATTCCCAACTATAATAGGGCTTTGCTATGAATTGATTTACTTGAAACTTGATCATAAAAGAAAGTACAAATAATATTTTGGCATGTGTATTATATGTAGTAGAGCTATACATATATTTTTCTGACTAACTATTTTAGAAATTGGTAGCAATACCTGCACTGAAAAAAGGTGTCATACGGAACCCTAAGCGGTTCTGAGTTTTGGAACAAAGCTAAAATCCTTTAGGGTTCCGTACAAATTCCTTTTTCTCATTTCGAAAAAAACATGGCTTCGCAGTATGATTTTTCTACTAGATTCAATATTCTACTAATAGGCTCAAGCACTGCAAAGCAATAAGGTGTCATATGGAACCATTTTTTTCTCGAAAATCTAAGCTTTAAAAAAGATCTCGTAAAAACCTAAGATGCCCTCAAAATGATTGTCGGTGGTCGCAAAAGCATTTTCAAAGCTTTTGTAATTTTGCCTACGAAACCTAAAACGGTTCAGATTTTGTTTCAAAAATCGGAACCTTCCTAGGTTTCTTAACGTTCTCAAAAACTATTTTAAATTTCAGAGAAATCACGAAACCCTCAAATGGTTCAGTGTCGTACCATTTCGTCTTTCACGTGATAGAATGATATTGGTATTCAGTAACGTTTGTATTTCTCCATCTCTACAAATGTCTCAATTTTGACACGAGCAAACTGAAGCTCACGAGGGAACATCCCCAACTGTCCAATCGCTTTTCGCTTGGTTCTATTACCATTCGATCAGTCTTAGTGAGTAGTGAAAAAGCCTATTTTGGTTTGATTTTCTGGTCTTCTGTTATTGACTTATGGACATTTTACTGGATTTTTGGCCTATGGGCATGAGATTCCATAAGAACCTGAGTGATTGAATTTCGAGCTGACATTTTGTGCATAGACAGCTCTCATAGTCATTAGAAAATTCCCAAAGTTTGAGCCAGAACGAATGCATCATTATCGAGATACTCAGATTTTAAAAAAAGTCTCTTTGCGACTATGTTTCAAAACAGGGATATTTTCGACACAAGCTAATATCTGGGTAAGGGTACGTTTGTCCTGGTTCAAACTTTGGGAATTTTCTAATGGCTATGAGAGCTGTCTATGGACAAAATTTCAGCTCGAAATTCAATCATTCAGGTTCTTATGGAATCTCATGCCCATAGGCCAAAAATCCAGTAAAATGTCCATAAGTCAATAACAGAAGATCAGAAAATCAAACCAAAATAGGCCTTTTCACTACTCACTAAGACTGATCGAATGGCAATAGAACCAAGCGAAAAGCGATTGGACAGTTGGGGATGTTCCCTCGTCAGAATGATTGAGAACCTTCATAAATATACAATAACAGAGCTCTTTTCTCGAAAAAAATCGCATTTTTCACACGTTACAGAGGCTCAGTGTAACGAAGATAAACTTTTGAGCGGTGAATGATAGAAAGGTCGAGTTTACGTAGATTAAAAGAGGAGACCTTGCGCTATCGAACGATTATCTTGAAGTTGAGAACTCATATGAAAAACATTTTTGTTCTGTGACGCAGAAAATCTTCAATTACAACTAACAACCTTGATCAAATGTTAACCGACTAAATATAGCATACACTTATACCCCCGATTGTCCTCTTTCTAATGGTAAAAAGGTTAGCTCGCTAGCTGCATCCGTTCGGGAGATATTCCTCTCAGAGTTTTCCCCATCTACTTTTTTTGGCACCGACAACTAGTTATCAGTTAAAAATCTTCGGTTTCTACAAATCCGACTTGGTTTTGACTTTTATTTTTTTACTGAACCGCATGGCTCCAATTGCATGGTATTGTGTGAATACAATATACTAATTTCAATCATTTTGGCAAGATTCTTCATATTCTTACCAAAATGATAATGGATATAAATAATCCTTGTTTGTATCTACTTTGAAATCAAGAAAAATCTCGACTTCAATTTTTGTTGTTATTGTAGACTTTCCTTTATCGCTTCATTATCCACCAACAGTTCGTGAAATTTTAGCGTATGAATGAAGAAAGAACTCACATCTATTCACACTTTGTTGTGAAACTTAAGTCCGAAGAAACTTCGGAGATTTAACTGAACTGCACTACGCTTCGAGGTTACAAGAGATCCACTAAACATTTTCTAGCTCGTGCTTTTCATAAATAGAAGCAAATAATCTAATATTTTGGATTTGAACATAGTTTAGCTCGATTCCTTATTTGAGATAACTCAATCGAAAAAAATATTTCGCTGACGACCTATCTGGAGAGTAGGGTGCTCTTGTTGCGGAATCTTTCTCAATGACTGCCGTGAATCAATAGTGCTATTTTTTAGGGTCGGCTCATAGCTCATTGTACTCTATGATGATTCAGTTGTATATTATTGAAACACTGACCGGTTTGCTCTACTAGAGTTCTTTCAAATACCGACAGTCCGATTCAAATAGAAGCCCAATTATTTTACATTAAATATTTTTATTATATCAGATTATTAGCTCGATGCTTCTGGGTTATAGAGAGCATATAAAACAAAATTCATCGCTTGGAAAATTATATCAAAGTGAGCTTCGGAAGGATATGATACTGTCTTCTTTACTTTTTATTCACCATGAATCAATTTTGAGAGAAGTTATTCATGGCATAATACTGACTAAGACTCAATTGCTTATAAACTTCTGTAGCTGACTAAAGCATGATTGATAACTTGCTTGCTTTTCACATATTTTCCTTTTTGAGCGAACCAATAGTGAACGACAATATGTTGCGAATGTTTTCTGCAACAGAGTCACTGTTTGTATCAACTCGTCCTTTTCTTCATTCACATAACTCATACTCTCGTAAGTAATTGCAAAATTATCACATGTTCAAGAGCAGTAGCTGCACTATCATTTCAAGTGATCGATTGAAATATTCCATCATGAGATCATAATGACTACGACAATCATGAATGATATCAATATTGTTGTACGAACAACTCAAATTAAGATGAGAGGTTGACAGATGCTTAATTCGGATAGCAAGTGATTTCTTAGAGAAATTAAACGCTTCCAAAAACTTGTACTGTTGCTAATAGATGAGATCAATGATGTTGTAACATCTAATGACCTTCAAATGATTCTAATTGTGTGCTCGGTTGAAGTATGAAAATGTGGGTGTGATAGTATAGCATGTGTGAGCATAAGGCGAAGATATTTAACTATGATCATCGGCATTCACTCGTATTTCAGGATCTTGGGATTTTAGAATTTTCTTCTTTCAGTTGATGTTTTTTCTTTTAGTATCTAATGTTCACTGAACAAATTCATACTGATACAATTCATTTAAAAGAAAAAAAGAAAACTTAATCATTACGATTAAGACTTTGTTCAGTTTCTTCAATAAGATGCTTCACTTTGTCGTTGAAGAATTGCAAATTGTCTGATTTAGAAATTCCCTCCGTAACAACAAATAAACATCTTATCATATTCAAACAACATATAACAGCTTGTGCATAATTGTATTTGTATAATAAATATCTCCATAATAATTCAATATATTTATCTTGAATATCTAGAACTTGTTTGATATTTAATACATTTATTGGAGGTATATTTGAATAAGTGGTATAATTTATAGTTGAAAAAGAAACAATAACAAGAAATAATTTCATTACAATTATATCAAACTGAATTGTTTTCGCTAAACATTTAGCAGCAGGTTCTACAGATGGATGAGTAATGAGTGCAACAGTATTATAAAAAGCAGGATAACTTAATAATCCAATCAAATGATAAATAAAATTTGTTGAAAGAGCTGTTATATATTTTATTGTATTGTTAAGTAATACAGAACGATCATTAGCAAATAATGAAAGAAAATCTTGATTGTTTTTATATAATAATTGAGTACCTTCCATTGAATCATTGAAATATCTGATTAGTGCTCCACTTTTGAGACGTAACTTAGGAGGTAAACTCATTTGTTCATTCATGAAACGTTCACCTAATGTTACTCCACTATATTCATCATAACAATGAGATAGATTTGAAAGAAGATTCCATTGTTCGACAGTTAACGTTGATACATCTGATTGTAAAAGATTCAAAGTTGGAAACTAAATATAAATAGAAAATAAATGA